AGAAGAAGAAGAAGAAGAAGAAGAAGAAGAAGAAGAAGAAGAAGAAGAAGAAGAAGAAGAAGAAGAAGAAGAAGAAGAAGAAGAAGAAGATGATTAAACTGATGCTTGGTGAGAATAAGGAGATTTCAGGAACAAAGATGTCAATTATTATTTCCTGCTGTGGTGCAGGTTTCCAAGATGTTTTAATGTCCTTGCTTTCTGTTATTCATAGTGCAGAACCCTGTATTCAGTGGAGAGTTCTGCACTATGCAACAGCCTTCCATTGGAAATCAGTGCAATCCACACGTTATTGGCTTTTCACAGGCTTTCTGACTTGTTGCAGAGGACATGTGGAAGATAAAATGTTGCCAATGATTTATTCTTGTACTTATCATTGCTTTGTTTTGTTTCCTTTCTTTTTGCCTTTTGTTTCTAATGTACATTGTCAGATGTCTATATTCCACCATCCACACATCTACCAAGTTTATGGGCAGTGGTATATATATATATTCAATTAATAAATAAACTTCTGGAACATGATTCAGATGGAATTCCTTGGGGGGAAAGAAAGTACAGCAGATAAGAGATGAAAAGTGCTTTCAAGAAGAGGAAGCCACAGAGGGGCGAATGGGAACTTAGTGGTGGACTGGGTACCTTGATGTAATAACTGATAGACCTGTCCACCATGTCCAGTTTGGTAATGGTTTACAGGAAAGGAAAGGGAAAAAGAAAGAAAGAGGGAACAGTGGATAGAAACAAACTAAAATAAACCCTTTAAAATGCTAGGGTGAGAGGCAGCTGACTTTATCGATTTCAATTTGCCTTATTTTCTCATTATACTGATGGCACGTCCAGGAAATTGCCATATGTTGATTCAGACCATTTGTCAGGATCTACACAAGCTACAAATCTTAGTTTCATTTAATTTAGACCAGAAATGCATATTTGACAATTAAATGGTTAAAGTGTTAATTAGGGGCCTGCTTGCTTTTTCCTGCCATAGAAGTAAGGAGAAGAGGGGAGGAAGATGCCA